CTGAGGACGACAGACCAAACTTGTCTGAGGTACAAGGATGTCCTTGACGTGTCAAATTTGTGGGTAACTTGAACATCTCCTTCGCGAAAGTGGTTTATTCCAGCGTACATGACGCAAATTGCACGTATTCACTGTCACCATCGCACTATACATTTGTACATGTAAATTTGTAATTTGTGGTGAAATTGGCAAAATTTGACCTGATATAGTGATTTTCTTTCGTAAAGAAGTGCATATCATGAAGTGATATTCATCTTTGATTTCTTCGTCAGTAAAAATGATGAAAATACTTCTTTCTTCTTGTGTTTTTGGTCTTGAGTGTCATCCTGATTCTACCTTTAAATAAATACATATGCCATTATTGTTGTTGTTACCTGTAGTGTCCTATAAGCAATAATGTCGAGCGAGAATTCAATTCAAATTTATACTTTTGCTTGAAAATAAAATGTGTACATCCTGTAACTTTGATGTTACATGCAACTCCACTCCGTTAGCATTTCCCAAGCATATCTACATGTAACTCTGGAATTTTCTATTTTACCAACCAGTCATGTAAAGCAGCCTAGCGACCATGCCTTTGATAAAACGACAAGTGGAACCGACGCATCTCAGCAGAGGTGTGGTATCAGACCGTATAACTAATGAATTAGAATGTGTCACCAATAACACATTAGCCGGAGTGATTCGGCAGCTCAGTAGTCTTGGTAGGCATGCGGAAGACATCTTTGGAGAGCTCTACAATGAGGCACATTCACTGTTTGAGAGGTCCAACAATTTACAGAGCAGGATCGATAAGCTGTCCGATAAAGTGACAAAGTTAGACTCCTCCGTGGAGGAAGGTATGTTATATTGTCACATTATTTTTTTATTGTGCATTCTGTCAATTCCTATTATCAAAATGCTATGGTGTAAATTGTAAAAAAACACTACGTTTATTGATACAACAATAGCATTGTCTCTAAAACTACATGTTTTAAAAAAAAATTATACTGATTGTAAACTATAGTGAATGACATTATATATTGTTCAAAATAACAGTAAAAACTGTGAAAGATGACTGTGGTTGAATCGCACATTTTGTTGACAAGATATAGTTTGAAGTTGTTGTTGGATTTGATGGCTTACATAGCTTACACTAGAGTGTATTCAATTACCATTGCTTCTACAAGGAAGTAAAAACATAAGATTTTGCTATCTTTCCTTTTCTCGAGTTCATTGAAATGTGTACAGCATCAAGAGACAAATAAATTATACAGTGTTATCCAAGCTCAAATAAACTAAAGCTTATCGCTTGCCGTCATAGACACTAGCACAGCCTGTGGACGATTCTATATTGGATCTGACTATTAATCTGTACATAAATACCCGATTTGACTAATTCTAGGGGTAGTCTGAACACAGCATGTAGACATTCACATGTTGGTTGGCAAAAATAATGTTACAGTGCGATGACCTATAGCATAGAGATTGCCATTCTCACAAATTCCTAAAATATTATAAGGGAATCTTGTCTAGAATTGATAAGATAATGTCAAATATTGAAGAAAAATGGGATTTAGTTAAATTGTTATTTACAATAATAGACGATGCTGAAGTTAGCCTTAGATTTGGATAGAGTTTTGTTTTCAGGTTCCAGTCAATAACAGTAGTACTGTATTACCAGATGTTTTTTTTATTTAAATTTCTGAGTTTCTACTTTCTGTCATGTTTGGCAAAAAAAAATTACAATTATAATCTACTTAAAGTTTTTTAAAGGTAGACATTTTTTGTGTGTTTTCTTAGCGACAAATATAATGCTTTTAAATGAATTGCACATTTAAAAAAAAAGTTAAATCATGCGAATTTCAAAGTGGAAATACATTCTTATATCCTTTCTCTTGGTGTTAGTTTCCTTACAGGATATCAATATGAGGAAGGCGTTCAAGAGTTCGGTGTTAACCGATCAGCAGGTGGTATCGAGATCCAGTATCCCATCAGCCATGAATGAAATTTACAATCAGTGTGATAAACCCCCAGCATTAAATAATCTCAGTAAATACAGGTAAATGCTCACCGTCATTATTATGCAAGGTTAGCTGTTATCATTGATTTAGGAAAAGTACAAGACAAAATGTGTGTTGTTGTCACTATTGTTAGGCCCAAACATCATGCCACCAGATCGATTCACTGCTTGAAAAAGAAAAAAAAAAACGTCTCCATAATGACTGGCATTATCACTGCGATAAATCCTTAACATTACTACAATATTTGCTCTACTAGAAGCCCATCTCCAACAAAAGCATATATAAACCAAAAGTAATATTTGTTTTTATACTGAATCATTAAAATATTACTTATTTTGACCATAAAAACACCTCTATAATTTATGTAAGTGCATACACAACTGATAAAAAAAATGTGCTATTACACCTTCAGACTTTCAGATGTCTCCAAATTAGCTTTAGACATTTTGTATGGAATGGCAACTAGCGTCATGGAACATTAATTTTCTAATTATTTGCCATATTTTTGGTGTAAAACACTAAATTTTATAAAAAACACTTAGACTCTTTGTCTGAAATGATTGAACAAAATTAGGAAATTTTTGAAAAATACCAGCAAATTGCTTATGTCCGGTGAGCATGTGAATCAGTGCTTCCATGAGCAAAATTAAAATTGGTTTTTCCATATGATGCAAACATTTGTAATTTGAATGTAAATGTTCAAAATGTTCAGCTTACCTTATCGAGAATATCAGACATCTAATAATGAATATGTAATTTAGTTTCTCAACAATACAGTGCTAAATAAAAGGGACACAAGGTTTAGTTTTCTGTATTCAATCTTAATAAGTACTGGAACAACATTCTCCTTTACATAGGGTTCCAGTTTAAAAGGTTTCACCATAGTTTGCATTTTTGATATCATATTATTTTATTTTTATTAAACCAAATTACATTTTGCAGGGATGATGGCAAAGAAGGACTGAAGTTCTACACTGATCCTACGTACTTTTTTGAGCTCTGGTGTCAAGATATCAAAGAACAGACAGAAAAAATAAAACGAGAAAAGAAAAAGAAGGTGTGTATAGACTCTCCTACATCCAAATGAGGTCAATTTTGATGAGTGAATTAAATTCATTATTCTCCCAGGGAAAATAAATAGCACATACCGTATTTGTCTTCAATTAGGCGCCACTTTGTTACACTTTCATGTCATGGTGGCGCTTATTTGTGGTTAAATTTGAGCAACTTTGTTTCAAATGGCGCTTATTTCAAGCACTTCAAGTTCTAGTACCGGTAACTGTGTTACAAGTCATTGTTTTTGCTCCATTCTGGTGATAGATTATTGACAATATTTTACATTACAGTCTGACGCCTAGTCACTGTAGCCTTTATTTTAAATACTGAGTAAATGACCCATTTTCAGACAGTTTAGAAAGTTGTACAAAAATTATCATTATTTAGAAAACATTCACAGTTTGCCGTACAATCAACAGAAAAATAAAACAAACACAAATTCAACGCTTAGTAGTCAATGATCA